GCTGATCGTATTTTTATCTATCTATCTTTTTTCTTTTTTGGTTTTGCCTTTTGCTGAGGGGGCCGAATTTTTTGTTCTTTTTGGTTCGAAATTTTCGAATTTTTGTGTTCGAATTTTTCATTATTTTCGTGAGTCTTAAAAAAAAAACAAAAGTGTCATCTAGTCCTTTGTTTGATTTTTGTTCGGTTATTACCTTTTGTTGAGGGGCCGAATATCTCTTGTTATTTGAATTATTTTTGGTTCGAATTTTTTCGAATTTTTAAAGTAAAAAAAAAAAAAGATGTCTTACCCACCAATGGATGAGCTAGATTGGGAAGATCTTGAGATGTTGGAGGGTTAAGAGAGCTCACACCATGGGAGAAAACATATTTAGATGAGCTTCATGAGCGAAGGAATATAGAGGAGTACGAGCGACAACTCGTAGAGGCTCGAGAAGCAATGGTGATCGATGCTCAGAACCATGAAGATGAAGGTGCGCTGAATTTTCTAATCCTTGAGGACAAGGAAAGTCTTGAAGAGGAGGGGAATGATACGGAAGTGGTCATCAACCCAGGCGAGTCGGAGGATGAAGGTGGCGACGATCTCAACGTATGGTTGGAGAACATGCTAGAGGAGCCTACAAGTCCGATTTATCGGCCATCATGTGTACGAGATTGGCCAAAAGGATGTGGTCCGAAGTTGAAGGTGAAGGCTCAGAAACGCAAGGCCAAGAAAGCCCGAAGGAAACACAAGGCAAAGGCTAAAGAAGAGAAGTGTTGGTGCAAGCCTTGTGCGAGGAAAAGGCGAGTTTAGAAGATGGAGGCTCGAAGGAGAGGTAAGCAACGGATGGAGGATGGTTGGATATGGCGAACTGGAGATTGTATTGGGTTAGAAGGATGGGACCCATGGCCATCGGGCGAACCAATGGAGTTGAGCGACAAAAGGGTCGAGGAAGATTGGTTGTCGGGCATATGGCGCGCATTAGGCCATGATGCACACGATGAGGTGGTGCACGTAGCGTTGGGTGCACGAGAGTACACGGTGGGCGAGCAAGCTGCGGAGGTCGAATGGGACGCGTTGGCATTCGATGGCAAAGTAACGGGGAGCACGGGGTGCGATAAGGGGGTGCACACGGCGTCGGGCATACGCGGTTGCGGAGTAGGCGATCGGAGCATCGGGGTGGGCGAGACGTGCGAAGTAGAGGATCAAAGCATGGGTGTTGGCAGTACGCGCAACATAGCGGGCGCACGAGGATGCGTGGTAGACGAGTAGGCCACGGAGACTGGTGGCACGCGCGGAGCATCAAGCACTGGGCGTGCGAGGCGCGCTGGGCGCGCTAGTGGTGAGTACGCAGGCAACCGCCTAGGCCTTGAAGACTTAGGATCGTCGGGGGCGCACGCGTGCAAGGAAGTCGGCTATGGCACGGGGTTCGCAGGCAGCGACAAGTGGGGCGACGCGGGCGATGGCCTATGCCGTGTAGACGAAGGAGTAGCGGGTAACGGTGCGAATGCACGCTGAAAGAATGGCAACAGTGGGGAGCGCGTGATAGTGCGCTAGTGCAGCACAGGCGCGGACGTCCTAGGCGGGGCAGGATTAGGCGACGTACGCGAGGGGGACGCATGCGTAGGTAACGGCGGCGTGGACGGGGTGCGCGGTAGGGCGCGCGCGTGCCACAACGACAAGGCGCGCGATGCCTCGTGGGCCAAGGAGTAGAAAAGTGCCGAATGCAGCACGCGACGCGTATGGAAGGCGGCGAGAGTAATTGGGGCGTGTGACTTGGGCATCAAACTACTTGGTGTGCAAGTCAAGACATTAGAATTATAGTAATATTAGGATTTTATTGCTTTCTGGTGTTAAGATTTCTATTATTGCAAGATTTAGGAGATCTAGATCTACTATGCTTAGATTTATTTTTGCACCTATAAATACCCCATGTACTCTTCATAATTAAGAGAGTTGAATGTTGAGTCTTGAATTGGTGAGCCAATTGTGAGGAGGAACTGTTGTTCTTACGTGTGTTTAAACAAGACCGTTAGTGCGTGTTTACATACAATGTCGGAGAGAAGGCCATGAGAGCATCTTGAAGTCACACTGTCTAGGAGAAGGCCGAGTGTGTCTGTTAGATACACCTATCGTGAGTAATCGAAGGCCCTGAGTGCACGATTATTCATAACCCGAAATAGATCAAAAATACGATCAGTCATCACGCGGGCGGTAGCCGGGACGCGCGGGACCTAGGCGGCGATGAAGGGGCACGCGCAATAGCGCGTGAGTGGAGGCAGCGGATGACCCGTGGAAGGCGCGCGTGCGAGAAACCGCGCACGACTAGGATTAGGCAACGAGGAGGCGGCGCACGAGCAAAGGCGGCTAGGGTTTGGCGTGCGTGCGTATAGGGCGGCCGAAGTATTTAGGACGCATGACTTGGAGTTCAAGAATTCTTGGAGTGCAAGTCAAGCATTTAATAATTATAGTAGTATTAGGATTTTATTACCATGTTGCTTTTCATTCTAGAATTAGGAGATCTAATTAGCTTAGGCTTAGATTTATTTATGCACCTATAAATAGGGGTATCCCCTCATTGTTTTAAGAGTCCAGAATTAATGAGTTGAATAGAAAAGAACGTTTGTTCATCCGTGTGCTAGGATTCGTGAGAGTTCGATCATGCAATCGAATTAGTGAGGCTAAGACCCTAGCTAGTTCAAAATCGAGGGAGCAAGGCTAATTACCGAGTGGCCTCAAGTATCGTGAGAGAGTTAGGCTAATAACCGAGTCGATCACACCTATCCGTCGAGAGCGAGTCGTGGCGAGGCTGTGTTCGAGGCAAGCGAGTGGAACAAAACACACGATCCTTCATCATTGGTGCTTTCATTGAGAGTGATTGATTGTGTGTTTGGTTAAACTTTTTCTATCCCATTCTTTTTTCTGTTGTCCAATTTTTTCTTCCCCCATGTTCGAATTTTTTTTAATTTTTCTTCCTATTTTTCAAAAATTTTCGAGAGTATAAAAAAAATAAAAAAAAAATGAAGAGAGTCATGTTGATGTTCGAGCCGTTGGACGAGATAGATCTAGAAGATCTCGAATATCTCGAAAGCATGGAGAGGATTTTGACTCCGGATGAGCTAGAGTACTTGGAGGAACTCCACAAGCGGAAGGGCCTAGAAGAGGAGCGTGCCAAAGAAGCTGATGAAGCCAAAGCCGCAAGCCAAGGTGATGAAGGTGCGTTGAACTTTCTAATCCTTGAGGAAAGGGAAGGTATTGAAGAGGAGGGGAATTATACGGAAGTGGTCATCAACCCCGGTGAATCAAGCGATGGAATGGTCGAGGATCTCAATCTATGGTTGGAGAACATGCTCGAGGAGCCATCAAGCCCGATTTATCGGCCTTCGTGCGAGCGAGACTGGCCGAAAGGATGTGGTCCACGGGCTAAGTGGAAGGCTAAGAAGCACCGGGCCAAGAGACGACGCACGAAGGCGAGCCATTGTTGTGGGCCGTGTGCTAGGAAGAAACGGGCATGGCGTTAGGAGTTTCGAAGGCATGGTAGGCTAGGGATGGAAGACGGTTAGATATGGCGTGCTGGAGACTGCATTGGGTTGGAAGGTTGGGACCCATGGGTATCGGGCGAGCAGCCAGAGTCGAGCGGCGACGGCGGGGCGAGCACGAGCTAGTGGCGCGCATCGTGACGGGATGCGCGCGAGCAAGTGGTCAACACGGAGGCGGCGTTGGGTGCACGGGAGTGTACGGTAGGTGAGCGGACCACGAACGTCGACTGGGACGTGCTGGAATCCGGCGGCGAAGGCGCAGGGCGCGATAGGCGCGCGGGTGAGTAGTCCGCAGGTGTGGGCGGTACGCGCAATGCAACGGGTGCGCAGGGATGCGCAATAGGTGATTGGAGCCCTCGGGCGATGGATACGACGCGCAGAGCAGCGGGCGCGGTGGGGTGCGCCGTAGGCGATTGGGGCGCGGGAGGTAGCCGGGACGCGCGGGACCTAGGCGGCGATGAAGGGGCACGCGCGATAGCGGGTGAGTGGAGCGCGAACGCGGGCGGAGGCCTAATCCGCCCGGGCATAGAAGAGTCGGGCGCGCACGCGAGCGTGCGATGGTGCGCGCGTACGATGCGGACGACCCAAGCCGCATAGGAGTGGGAGAAGCGGAGGCAGCGGCTGACGCGTAAAAGGCGCGTGCGCGAGAAACCGCGCGCGACTAGGATTAGGCAACGAGGAGGAGGCGCGCGCGCAAAGGCGGCGATGACAGATCGGATTTTTGTCTATACTTGGGTTGTGAAAGAATCTTCTCTTGAGATTAGGAGACTTAGGAGTCTTCTAGAATGTGAAGATTAGTAGGAAATATATTTCCTACATTATATTATTAATTTGAGTAAAATTAGGCTTCCTAAATTAGGAATTAATTTTATTCCATGGTTATTAATTTAATTAGGAAAGATATTCCTACAAAGATCTTCTCTATTGTTATGAGACTTAGGAGTCTTCTAGAAGGAGAGGATTAGTATGAGATTTCCTTCCTACATTGAATTAGTATTGGAGTAGAATTAGGTTTCCTAGGCCTAATGGAATAAGCCCATATTTAGCACCTCCTTAAGGTCCCTAATGGAGCCTATAAATACACCATGTCCCAACCTCTCCTACAATGTTGTCTTGGCCGATTTTCTCTACTACATACGCGAGAGAATTACATCGTTCGAGAGTTAGGGAGATTCGATTAAACGCTCCACCAAGTTTAATCGAAGTAGGTGTTTAGGTAATCCGTTAGAAGGCTTTTGGGTACAATTTATTCGAGCCTTTATATTTATATTTTCCGGTAATCATCATCACCTCATCGCCGCCCATCCGCTGCCGTGAGTGTTTGCCGAAAATCACCTACCGCCGTCGGAAGCCGCCCAAGCCCTGCTGATTGCAACCGCAAGCCCCGCTCAAAGTCGCGTCCAGCCAGGCCCAACGCCAGCTCCCAGCAGCGACACCCGGCGACATCCGCGAGTCCCCAGCGACGCCCCATGCCATCGCGAGTCGCCCAGCATCCCAGTCGCCGATCGTGCACGACCCTAACGATGCCCGACTGCTCGTTGTTCGTTCCCAGTTTGCTACCGTCACGCGCGCACCATCCGAGCGCGTCCCTGCTGCCGTGCCCAGCAACCCGCGTGATCCCAGACGCCAGCGCCAGTCCGCGGAGGCCTAGGAGTCCCAGCGTACGTCCGCGACACGCACGCCAGCGCCCGTCCGTAGATTCCAGCCACGCGCACGTCACGCCAGCGCCCGACGCGCACTCGCGTGAGTCCGTGATTGCTGCCCGCGTTCCACACGCTGTCTGCGCCCGACGCGCACGTGCTGCCCGCTGCACCCGACGACCAAGACCCGCGCACCGTTCGACCGTGATCCGTTTGATGAGTTGATTAGAATCAACTAAAGGCCAAACCTATCCACCCATTAGGTTGTGGTGTTCGGACGAACTTCACCAACGGTACTCTACATCGTCTCAGAGTCGGCAAGAATTTTAAAAAGGTAAACGTCCATATCCTAACTATAGATTCCGCTGCGTTAGCATTTATTTCGATAAAGTTCAATATTGTGCATGTTGTTTGACATTCCTAACAGAACCCAATAATTGAGACATCCGAGCAGAAAAAGTTTGTCTCGAAACTCATGGGGTTCGACTTCGAAATAGTTTACCGACCTGGTCGACAGAATGTTGTAGCCGACGCACTATCCCGACGAACGGATGTAGCAGAGCTTAACGCTATTACGGGGCCGACTTGGGCTATTTGGGATGAAGTCCGGATGGCGCAGGAGGAGGATACTTATTGTCAGGAGTTGCGCCGAGGGATCATAGCAGGAGAGGCTATCGCTACTGACTACGAGCTACACAACGACTTTCTCCTACACCGAGGCAGAGTCTTTGTTCCCGACAGTGAACAGCTACGCGAGAAGATCATACAGCGCTTCCACGATTCTAAAATTGGAGGTCACTCAGGTATCTACCGCAGATGGATGAGGATAGCCAATGCCTTCTTTTGGCCCGAACAGCAAGGCACGGTTTGGGACTACATCGCGAGGTGCGACGACCGTCAGCGAACTAAGGCTAATTCTCGACGACCAAGCGGGCTGCTACAGCCTCTACCGGTACCCGACGCAGTTTGGGAGGATATTACTATGGATTTCATCGAAGGGTTGCCAAGTTCTAATGGGTTCAACGGTGTTATGGTCGTAGTAGATCGACTTACGAAGTATGACCATTTCATACCCATCACCCATCCTTACACAGCAAAGTCAATTGCCAGGCTGTTCGTCGAGTATGTGATGAAGCTGCATGGAGCGCCGCGTTCTATTGTTTCTGATCGAGACCGGATCTTTATGAGCAGCTTTTGGTCCGAATTTTTTAAGCTACAAGGGACCAAGTTATCGATGAGCTCAGCCTACTACCCAAAGACGGATGGCAAACCAAGGTAACTAATTGAACTCTTGAACAATACTTAAGGTGCTACGTCCATCAATTTCCAAAGAAGTGGGAAAACTTTCTGCCCTGGGCTGAGTATTGGTAAAACACCATCTATCATGAGTCAACCAAAATGACGCCATTCGAGCTGGTGTATGGGCGTCAAACCCCCAACCTTGATCAATTATTCGAAAGGAAGTACGGTAAACGATGAGGTGGGTCGAGAGTTAGAAGAGCGAGATTTGATGTTGCGGGAACTAAAGAAGAATCTCGAAGGCTCGATTAATCGGACCAAAGCCTTCGCAGATGGAAAAAGGCATGAAGAAAATTTTGCACCAGGAGAGTATGTCTACTTGAAGCTGTGACCATTTAGGCAGCGCACGACAGCACAGAGGGTGGCAACCAAGCTAGGCGTCCGCTATTATGGGCCCTATCAGATTCTGAAGCGCATTGGCCAGGTAGCTTATCGCATAGAGGGCAACACAACTGCTCAAGAGAAGTCTAGGAGAAGCTCACAAATATTGTGAAGAGTTACCCGCAACCGCGACTGATGGGAGGATCATTGTGCGCCCAAAACGAGCGATCGAGTATCGCAAGGTAAGGAAAGAAGGGCGCTACCGCTGGGAGGTACTAACTGATTGGGAAGAGCTACCGCCAGAAGAAGCCACGTGGGAAGAACTTGATGAGATGCCCGATCAATTCCCAAGTTTCATCCTTGAGGACAAGGAATCGCTTGAAGGGGACGGGAATGATGCAGAAGTGGCCAGGCAGCTCAAGAACGCTGCAAGTCGCGCCTACCATGCACGCTAAAGGCAAGCGCAGGAGACGGCAGAAGTATGCGCACTAGAGTGTGGTGCGCGTGGGGCAAGCGAAAATGGCACATACTCGGATGCGCGAGCGGTAGGTGCAACCCGGGCGCGGGCAACTGGCGGTAATGTGCGCGCGACGGGGATGGAGGAACGGGGCACGCAAAGCGCGCATGGCGATCAGGCACGCACTGGGCGTGAACCCTTACCCCTCGAGGCATGCGGTAAGGTGCGCAAAACCTCAGTCCTCGAGGAGTGCGGCAACACAGGGGCACACATGCGCGGAGAGGCGGCGGGCAGCAGCAGCGTGCGCGACACGCTTGATAAGCATGCACGCGCGCGGTAAGGCGGCGCCCTAGTCCTTGAGGACTAGGGCAAGGGCCGAGGGCGGCGCGCGGATGACGGTACGATAAGCCAAGTTATTTTGTTCCCTTATTGCTTTATGATTTCTAGCTTAATTAGGATACTTAATATTTTATTGCTTTATTAGTTCCCTAGGTAGGTAGGACTAGATATAATTGGTGCCTATATAAAGGCCACCCCCTATGTTATTTTTATCATGAATTTTATCAATAGAAATCTGAACTTTTGTTCTTCCACTTTGCTTTAGCTTTTTACCAAAATTCTATTGCAATTTTATTCGTTCCAAGAGGCGCTGTTGTGGCTCGAAGAACACCTATCGGCGATTCAAGGCGCGGGCTAGCAGCTTACCGGCAGTCGGGACACGCGATCTTCATCACGCGCGCTCCCCGCTGTTGTCGTTCTCCTTGGGCGCGTACGCACCGTCGCCCGACACTCCTATGCCCATTCAGTCTAGGCCATCGCCCGCGTCGGCCCACGCATCACTGCCTGCTCCCACTGCGCGCTTGCGCCCTGACCGCCGCGTGTCCCAGCAAGCGCCTGCATTGTAACACCCCACTTTGATTTTACAGAAATTTTGAATTTTCCAAAAATCAGTATAAAATTTTCAAAATCATTTTCGAAAACTTAGTGGGTGTTAACTAACATTT